AAAATGCGGAGTATTTGTGCAGACAGCATGCTGTGCCTATACGGTGAACTTTCTCCGAGAAGTTTTGTCACAAGTCATCTCCAATACAGCTGCTTGTGTAACAAATTCACTGCCTTCAATAATACATTTCAAAGACAATGACGGTCGGACATCATGCAGACGTTATTATGCAGAATTCACATGTTGATTTGGGAGGTGTTGTGGACAGATCAAAGGACAACATTTTTCTAAAGTCTGTTGTTGATTCGTTATGGTGTGCTGCTCACTCCCGAGTGTCTGGCAGAACAGACAGATGACCGCTTTAAAAAAAGGCTGCGGTAGAAACGAGGCTCAAAACACAGCTGGATGTTTTGCATTCAATAATTCTAATTTAAAAGTTAAGAATTTGTGAATGCAGAGCAAGAATCACCATCCAAACACTCACCCAGGTTGTACTGAAACTTGTAATTTTGTGATTATATGTTGACTATGTTGAAAATGTTATAGTAAGGGTTTTTCAAACTGGGTCCTCGATGGGGCCATAAGGCAGTGCTTGGGGGTCCGCAGAAAATTTGGTAAAAAAAAAAACTTTAGTTTGGGGACCAATTCTCAGTATTAACTAGTTGCTTATTAGCATGCATATTACTAGCATACTGGCTGTTTATTAGTACTTATAAAGCACAGTAATGTGCTTATTCTACATCGCTTACCATAACCATATTCTACATCGCTTAATCCTACCCAACACTTAAACATAACAACCACATTAATAACTGTTATTTAGGAGTTTACTGAGGCAAAAGTCATAGTAAATAGATAGTTAATAGTGAGAATTGGTCCTTAAACTAAAGTGTGACCAAAATTATATATTGCAAATAATGAAAGTACTGTGAAAATTTAAATTCAACAGAAAATTTCTATTCAGGTTTATATATCTAACATTACAGATAATACTGTTCAGATAATATTATAATCATTTTTACTTTAATACGATCTAAATATAAACAATAAAAACATGTATACGTAAAAATCAACTATTTAATTTTTATGTTGTGAATGCTATTTATATTATGACACTTACTATTTTTCTCACTCTGTATAAATGGGTCTTTTCTTGGGAGCTTTTGGACCCCCTTTTTTTTTTAGATATTGGTGAGAATTGTCATGCTGAAATGGAGAACTTTATCTCAAGTATGTTCGCTACTCATCTCATAAACTTAAGAGGTTAGCCAATCATAACAGAGGACATTTACATAAGGAAGTCTTATAGGTACAGTAGCAAAAACAGACTTCTAAGGGTCAAAGAAACCATGACTGAACAAGACTTCAAAAAAGCTGTTTATTCCCTAGTTAATATTACTGTATAATAATAATAATAATAATAAAATTATAAGAATTACATGAATAATGAAATGAATGAACTGCATATGATGTTTTAAATTTTTTTTTTTTTTTGAGCATTTCAACTTTATTGAGCACCAGTAAAGATCCTTCAGAACTGTATGAGGTACCTGATGTGTGAGGGGAATGTCCCTCCTCCAGTCCTCCTGCCAGTCTTTCACTGGATGTGCCCAGCACACCGATGGGAAGGGCCTGGTCACCTGAGGCCAGATCTGCTTCCGGCTCCTCACTTAAAGGGAACGCAATGTCACTCACTGGCTCCTCTTTAACCTTCAAGGGTTTGGAATCCTCCAGAGCTTTTTCTGGATTCACGAGTCTCTCATACTCTTCTGAGAGCTCCTTACTGACCTACAGTCAAAGACGACACTAGTCAGTCAATGCCAAAGCAAACACAATGTAAAACAAAAGCTACACATATATGGAGCTTATAATATGACAAAACAAATTGAATTTGTATTGTGTAAATTTTAATTATTGACAAGTGTCATTTAACAAAACGGAATATTATGTTGCATTTAACATAGTTCTGAATTTGATTTTTTTTTCTTGAATATTAAACATTTGAAATTTAACACAACTGAATATTTTTATGGCAGAGTTTTATAGACATGTATTTTCAAACAGCGAATTCTTTGTTCTGAAGTCTTAGACTGCACATATCCAGTTTTTACAAATACAGCTTCAAGTTTTCAAGACGAAGAGGAAATTCGGAACATCAAATTCAATATTCTAAAATTCAATACGCAGAAATTCAGATCGTACAGAAAGTAGGTCAGAGGTAATCCACAGGGAAGAGTAGATGATCTCCAAAAAGTCAAACAAAGCATTTTGGCCAATTAGAAGTTATCTGGCATGAGCGTGCAGTTCAAGATCTACCTGATCATGAATCGCCCAGAGGTAGCCTAAGTGATTCTTAAACATTTATGGTTTATATACTTATATGTTAGGTTAGCATTCTCCGCATGTGAAACATTTATCTAAGCGGTCTCTACGATCTCAATTTCTGTTCAATTTCAGTTGTGTTAAATTTCAAATAAAATGTTAAATGCCACATAATATTCAGTTTTGTTAAATGACACTTGTCAATAATTCAAATTTACACTATACAAATTCAATTAGTTGTGTCATATTATAAGCTCCATACACATACAGTCCTGTAGGTACTGAAGCTGGCATAGCATTGGACATATCTCACCTGCAGCATGTAGCTGTGGTAATCTTTAATGCGGGTCTGCCAGAAGCGCTGGAGCGCTAGGACGCTGCCAATGCCCACCTCATGGAATACCTGTTCCACCACATCAGGGAAGGGTGTGGAGCCCTGGCAGGCCTCCCTGTCAACAGCCACGCGCAGCAATTTGGTGATCCGCAGGTAATGTTCATGGGCCAGGTCGGTCAAAGTCTCCAGCACGCTCTCATTCGCCGACTCGAATCCAATGTGAGCGAGCACTGTGGCGACCGACTGGTACAGAAGCTGACGGCAGGATGGCCAGCTCAACTCAGTGACCGGCTCACCTTTACCTCTAAAAAGAGGGAGATGTGGAGAAATTGAAAAGAAAAAAAAAAGAGTGACAAATAGGAATCACAGGACAATAAAGTGTGGAGTTTTCTTTATAAAATCAAAAGCGGATGCATTTTAAATGTTCAGGTTTAAATGTATAGGCTGTATCTGATGATACTGTATCTAGAGAACAGGTTCATCAAGACAAATTTAAATGTTTGCTTGACATAGGCTTGAGCTTAATATAGGCCTTACAGACAGACAGACTAGGGTCAATGACGTATAAGGGCGTGAGAAAGAAAGAAAGAAAGAAAGAAAGAAAGTTTTGGGTAGTTACATACATCACATAACATTTTACAACCTGAAATAACCTTGCTTGCTTCATCACAGAGAGGTCAAATTAAATGATATTTACTTACTGACCTGGACACTTTTTTTTCTCCCCTACGAATAGAATCTTGCTTTAAACTATTTAATAATTGTATTTTTTCAAGAATGTTTTTTTTTTTACACGACTATTTTTGTCTTCATTATGATATCAAGACATCTGTACATTTTCTTTTTAATTTAGGCTCCCATAAAATATCAAAACCAATTTTAATTCAGAAATTAAAAACGTTCTCATCCTAGAAGAGGTGTATTCAGGTCACTGTATGTATAATTGGAATTTTCATATATTTTTGAATAAATTAATAGATAGGACAAACAGTGACCGATACACATGATGATCTATTGACATACTTGTAGAAGTCGCTCTCTGGGTCACTATGGCGTAGTTGGAATAGCTGTCGAGGAGCTTTACTATCCAGTGGAAGCAGATCATCAGGTACAGTTGGTGTGGCAGGCCGGGGGGGTAGAGCATCCCCATCCTCGAGTTTCAAGACACCTTGGGCATCTAATAATGTGGACAGGGGTTGCTGGCCTTGCTGGGCAGCAGCAATGAGACCCCGGAGACGACGAGCATGCTGGCTCAGCTGCACAGTGTGGATCGTGAGGCTGCAGGGCTCAGAGGGGATATCCAGCATGGTGGTGGGACGTGGACGCTGTGCAGAAGGTTGGTGCAGGGGAGGGTCTTGCATCTCCACCTGGCGGAACTCGCGCTGCAGGAGGTCAAAAGAACTGCGGCCCGAGGGAGCCGAAGCCACCGGGAGCTCGCCCCAATAACGCATCATCTTCACACAGTGCTGTCACTCAGTGCTTCTTTGATAATAGTACAATCTGAGAACCACAGAAAACACTGTTCAGGTTGATATTTCTTTGAAAAACCATATCACTAATAATCACCTGATGCACATGTAGTGGTTATGAATGGTTACCTCAAATATCAAAATATATATTTTTTTAAACTTAGATTTTATATATTTTTGCACTGTGATATTGCAAACTATCCCCCACACACGTCTACATAACAAAATAAATGTATTACAAAAATGACTGACAATTCTAATGAAATCAATGAGAATAACAATTACAAACAAACTCAAAAGTACAAAAAATATATATAGGCCTAATTGCCCTAAAATATGTTTAATTTTCTTTATGCAAATTATAATTTCCTTTGATTTTGAAAGACTTGGACATGTAGAAAATTACTGATATACTAACTATAATATGCACATACAACGTTTTTTTTCTTTTTGCAAACGTTCATGCTTTCATGTATTTAAAGACTTAATTCTGAACTTTTACATTCACACTAACGTTACACATTAGATGCCCTGTAATGTCCAGTGTGTAATGTGGCACATATAAACCATAATCACCATTATAATCATCATAACAAATCGCTTAGTTTACCTTTTATGAGCAGATGATCATAAAGGCGAATAATTAAAAAAAAAAATAAAGCAATATGTATAATTTCGACAAAACGACGTATGAACGACGACCGACTGTGAGGTACAACACTAAAATGTTTCCGTGGAAAATGTAAATAGTTCCTAGACAATGGAGATAAGAGATACGAACTTTAAAATGTCAAAACTATACATTGCAAATAATTAATATACATCCTTATTAAAAATGTTTTGATACATTTATGGTAATAAACTAAATAAGATCAATCTATATCACAAATTCTAGACTACAAGATCGGAATCATTAAAGTGGTACACCATATCGTGTAGTGAAGACATGATGGAGTCTGAATGCAGCGGACATATAGAAAATAATCACACTGAAATGGAAACAGAGACGAGCTCGGACCCTGAGAACGGTCAAACCGGTGATACTAAACAGGACATCTCCAGCACTAATGAAAACACAGATGCTCCTTTTAAGAAACCGGGTATTTTTGTTGCTCCATCTCTCACTGTGAAGAAACCAGGAGGATTGAACTCAACCAAGAAACTCACAGAGGAAATAAGCAGAAGCATATCAGAGAATAAAGACACGGATCGTGTTACTAAACACCAGCAACTATCTGCAAAACCCACAGACACTCTAACAGACCCGTGCGATCATCCATCATCCGAGAAATCAGAGGCACACAAGGTCCAGCCCAAACCAAAAGACATCTGGCCTAAGATCCCTGCCAAACTACCCCCGGCGGGTAATTTTCCTCCGCTCCCGTACACTGAGCCCCCGTGGGGATCTGTTCCTAACATCAGCTACTCGTTTGAGCTGCTGAAAAACGGGGCGATCCTAGATACGGTCCCGCTGACCCAGAGAAGTTACTTTGTGGTGGGTCGGTTGCCGGTGTGTGATGTGTCTCTGGAGCATCCGTCCATCTCCCGCTATCACGCCGTGGTGCAGTACCGGGGCAGAGCTGGGCAGGACGGGGTCGTAGGAGAGGAGAAGGGCTTCTATGCCTATGATCTGGGCAGCACTCATGGGACTTTTGTGAATAAGAACAAAATACCACCTAAAACTTACATAAGGCTACGAGTGGGACATGTTCTGAAGTTTGGAGGAAGCACGAGACTCTTTATTTTGCAGGTATGTATTTATTAAGAGTGGCACATACAGTGCCTTGCAAAAGTATTCATACCCCATTCATTTTTTCACATTTTATTATGTTGCTGCCTTATGTTAAACCGCTTTAAATGACTTTTTTTCCACACCAATCTACACTCCATACACCATACATACACACACCCGGAGCATGTCACTGCTCCGGGTGTGTGTTCACAGTGTGTGTGTGTGTGTGTTCACTGCTGTGTGTGTGCACTTAGGATGTCCATACACCATATTGACAAAGCAAAAACAGAATTGTCACAACTTCGTAAATTTATTAAAAATAAAAAAACTGAAATAAGTACATTGCGTAAGTATTCATACCCATAACTAAATATGTCGCTGAATCACCTTTACAGTCTCAAGTCTTTTTTTTGTTTGATGCGACAAGCTTTGATCATCATCATTTGGCAATTATCTGCCATTCTTCTCCTCACCTCTTCACCTCTCAAGCTCTGTCAGGTTGGATGGGTGA